CCCCCCAAGGCAGGTTCAAGCACAAGGAAGGAGAGGAGCAGGACTGGGGACAGCGAAGGAACTCTCAGGTGAACAGAGGCGGCGCACCAGCCAAGGATGTCACGCATTCAGAGAGGGAAGCCATTGCCTATTTCCAGACTCTACGGCAAAACACTCTGGTTTTGCAGGGAACATTTACAGTGAGGAAAGGCAACTCATGGGCTGGTGAAATCAAATCAGAGCCGACGTGCCACCTGCAAGGGGATGCTTGATTTTCCCCTGAGTTACAGTACAAGTGTCCTCACGTCCTGCTTTCCTGCTACAGCCAGCGGACAGCAGCGGCTGCCTCAGCTTCAAACCTCACAGCCCATCTCTCCACACCCCACATCAGGATGGCTCTTCCCAGAGTCACAGGCTGGCTGAGGCTGGCAGAGACCTCACGAACTATCCTGTCCAAGTCTATCCTGTCCTCTGCTCAAGCAGGGTCACCTAGAGTCATTGCTCAGGACCATGTCCAGACAGTTCCACAGATAGAGACTCCACAAGAGCCTGGGCAAGCTCTGCCAGTGTTTGGTTACCATCCCAGTAAAAACATTTTCTGATGTTCAGAGGGAACTTATGTGTTTTGGTTTGTGCCCATTGCCTCTTGTCCTGTCACTGGGCAGGGAAGGTTTAGACTGGGTATTAGGAAGCATTTCTTTCCAGAAGGGGTTGTTGGGTGTTGGAATGGGCTGCCCAGGGCAGTGGTGGAGTCCCCATCCCTGGAGGGGTTTAAGAGTCGGGTTGACCCAGCGCTGAGGGATCTGGTGGAGTTGGGAACTGTCAGTGTTAGGTTAATGGTTGGACTGGATGATCTTCAAGGTCTTTTCCAACCTAGATGATTCTGTGATTCTGGGCACCAATGAAAAGAGCCTGGCTCTGTCCTCTTCACACCCTTCCTTCAGGTATTGATAAGATCCATCTGAGCCTTCTCTTCTCCAGGCTGAACAGTCACAGCGCTCTCAGCCTTTCCTCACAAGAGAGATGCTCCAGTCCCTTCACCATTTTTGTGGCCCTTTGTTGGATTCTCCAGTACATCCATGTCTCTCTTGTACCGAGGAGCCCAGAACTGCACACAGCACTCCAACTGTAGCCTCACCAACAACACTGAGCAGAGGGGAAGGATCTCCCCCATCACCCTGCTGGCAATACTGTGCCTAATGCAGCCCAGGATCCCACTGGCCTTCTTTCAACTTGGTGTCCACCAGGACCCACAGGGTCTTTTCTGCAAAGCTGCATTTGCCCCCAGCATATACAGGTGCATGGAGTGTTCCCCGCCATGGGCAGGACCTCGCATTTCCCCTTGTGGAACTTCATGAGGTTCCCTCCCCAGACTGGTTGACAGCATCGAGTCTGTTAGCCTGCCAGTCATTGTTAAGGCCCTTTCCCAATGAGCAAAGCAAAAACCAGAAGGAAGCAAAAACCCCCAAGACCCTGCTGGGATGTGGGTGGGAACAATCTGCCCTCAGGCACGCTGCAGAGGCAGAAGGGGCCAACTCACCTGCCCATCTTGCTGAAGATGGTGATGCAGCATCTGGGAATGAGGCTGCTGATGTGCAGGCAGGATATGGAGAAACGGGGCTGGAGCATAACCCGGGGCAGCACCAGGGTTCAGAGGCCCAGTCGATCCAAGAGCAGAGGGCAGGCTGAAGGGAGGCGGCGTGCCAGCATGGAATCCCTGCTTGTCAAACGTCTGCATGGGAGGCGAGGGGGACAGCATCAGAGACAGAGCAGCCCCAC